GCTGGCGATAAAACGAGAACGGAGACCGCGTCACCGTAGGCGTTGGACGATGCATGCAGACGCTTTTGTGTCCACTTACCAGAGGTGAAAACGGAACGTAGAGATAGGTGGGAAACAGACAGACGAGACCTCCTGCGGCAAGCAACGAGGAGGATCGTATTCTGGGTGACGAGCGTGGGTTCATTCAGTGAAGCCCGATCTCGATTTTTGTCTCCCGACGATCGCCAATATTATATGCCCATGTTCGTACGTCATCGCGTGGGTGGAAATATGACGATAAACCGGTGGGTGGGTCCAGCGAGAATCGGTTTTTATTATTCTACGGGTTGCTTGGTGGATCGTTCTTTCCCGTTCATAATGGTAGTCGATGATATTCGATCAGCTTCCGCAGAATTTTGTATCCGCCGATAAATTAATCTTTCGGGTACTGAGTATTTTTCTTCGTAAACGATGGGAAATAATCTTGTTTATTTATTTTTTTATTGAATGTTTAGAGTCGCATTGATTGCTATAATAATTGTTTGCTTGAAATTACACTGGGTGCTGAACTGGTAATTAATAGATTACTAATTTTCATGCAATTATATGATTTCATAAATTATTTTCTGGTTTCTTTTTTCAAGTATTATCTTTGATTTTTTGATATTTTTCATTTTTATCTTATTTTAAATAAATTGTTATAATTATTGCTGATCAAATATAGTAGTACATAGTCAAATAAAATATTTACTGGCTTTTTTATCAGTGTTATCTTTGATTATTAGTTCATTTCGCTTCAAAATCTATTAGGATGATTCAGAGGATAAATTTTTTCACCCTTTTTCAGTACGGATTTTATTATTTTTATTCTTGTAATCATTGCCAAGCAGAGATAGTCAAATAGACTAAGCAACGCATGTGACACGTATTGCCTCGTGTAGGGTCAGAAATATTTACTGGGACGTATACGTCTTGCCAGGGTCGAAAGAGTTAATAAGGGCTCGAACCTAATTTGTAATGTTATAACTGTATTACTATTTTTATGCTTGAGATATTCAAGACCAACAATCTTCATCTGAATGATTGTTTCAACTCTGATCTATTCATTTCCGTTGCATGATCAGGTTCAATAGGCAATCAATTGTTGAGTGGTATTACTACTTCATGATTGGAAAGCACATTCCATTCATTCTTTCCTAGAAATCGAAGGTCACTGGAAAATAATATACATGAAGTAATATTTCAATTACAGACATACGTCATGTAAAAGGTAGTATATCACCTTAACGTGTGAAACACTTGTGCCTGAAATTTGTATCTACTGAAAATGGTCAATTAGAATTTCAATGAAACACCTGAATTAAATGAAATTTCAAATAACTATTACAATAGTAAAAGTTTGTAAATGAAATAAAATTAGTAATACATATCTGGATAATAGAAAGTGAAGATAAGAAATTCGAATCAGGCTTCTGAGAATCAAATGAATCATTGCAGATTTTATCCAGTTTTATAACAGACAGAACAAGAAACCATTTTCTAGGTCACCGTTACAAGAAAGACTTGTCTCGGTACCATTACGTCATCGTCCAAATTGACACCAGTAAATCTGCATACTTAGTCATTAACGGGAATTACTTCTTTGTGAACAACACTTGCGTAATTATTCTGCAGAATATACACTTCTTCTTTTCCCGGTGAATTAACTGAACAAAATTATAATAAAATAGACAACATTGTTAGTATCAATATTAGCGATATTAATGAAACATGATTCACGTCGTGTTAAATTTGCTAATGATCCAAGTAGTTCAATATGAATTACAAATCCGTGTTCTCTCAAGAATTTTATTGATTTCCCTGCTGACAATCCTTGTTAACCTTTACGTTTGTCCCCGTTTATTAGCCGGTGACGTTATCCATTTCTTATTCGTGGCACGTCTTGTGTATGACTCTTTCCGCGAGGAAGACACTCGCCAAAAAAAACATGAAAATCGTAGTCAACGAGATTCCAAGAAACTGTATCCAAGCAGTAACGAGTGCTTGTCAATTGTGAAAGTTCAGTTGTTTGTCGGCACACGTCTTAGGCACATAGAGAATACGAGATTTATCAAGAATGATTCAACGATACGGTGTTTAACAATCTTGACCAAGTTTCCTTTCACTCTTCCTTTAACCCGAAATTGGAACACTCTACCGAAACGCGAAGTTTTCTACGTTAGACAAATTTTAATTTATAGGATTGTCTCAAAATTTAACACATTACGTACTGATCACCTTGTAACTTAACAATAATTAAAAATATAGGTGCTGTAATTAAAGTAATTAAGGTAATTCAAATAATTAACAGTAATTAAAAATCAAAGTATAATCCTCGCCTCCAAATTAAAAATTACCATACTACCTGAAAGGATGGATGATCACTAGCAAAGGGGGTTAATTAGTAGTAAAAGGGGTCAGTCACTAGTAAATATTTAAAATTTTTTTAAATAGATCATTTTTAAGAAAATATTTGATGTACACATATGATATGAAAACCATTCGCCAATCTATTTATTACAGATTTTTCTCTTCAAATATTTTAAATTTTCCTTCGCTGCGATATTAATTCAACGTTATTACATCGCGAAATTACTCGCCGCAAGTATTCGATATCCGAATTTCATCGCTTCCTGCAAAACTAAAAAACAAAATCCATACATTTAAAGTTCGTCGACCGTGAGTTTATTGGTGGATCGTTCAGCCTTCGAACTAGCCCGAGAAATCACCCTCTTCCATTTATAGCGATATTTTTATCCCTACATCCTCTATTCCATATTTTCTACCAGCCAGGAAGTTACGTCACGATCGTATTCGAACTGTTATCAACACTTAGAGATATCGAAGACGAGCGAGTCTCATCGGGCAGTTCGATATTTCTCTCGAGAAATGCTGGAGCGTTCGATAAGCAGGGATTGATTTATTCGTGACACAGGCCGAGTATCGGGGCAGGTAGCAGGCTAATATAGCATCCTGGGGAAAATTCACGTTCCCGATCTGACACGGTCGTCTGTTTGCAAGTTTTGCCATCCGTAAACGATATGAAGTAATGGTTAAAAGTACCTTGACTGCAGTTGAAAATAAATCTGACAGAACTACCGGTTCTGTTCGTTCAAAGATATTAGTCGTGTTTATTATTTCCACCGTGTATCTGTCCATTATTTTTACGCGAATTAAGTGATATCCAGGTAGCAATGCGTGACAACTGCATTCCCTATTGGTATTAGCAATTACGAATGAGACAGATGCGATTTTTCATTTAATGACGATACTCTGGCATGATCAAACGCTTCGGAGAGATCGTGGTATACAGGATATCCCATTTAAACTGATACAGAGCTCTTATTCCGAAACTATTAATGATACAAAAAATTGTTTATATGGAAATTGCATGGAAAAAGGGGGCCTATGTTTTGGCCGAAGTGAAAAATCTTTTGCATTATTAGTTTAAGATATATCATGGTCAAGTTTTGTTTTTTAAATGGAATCATATATTTTTTTCAGATCATGTAATAGTGCTTCTCAGGACGAATTCATTAAGCTTTAATGTATATACTCAATTTTAATTAGTTTTCAAGATTTAACGTTTACAAATTTTCCGATATTCAGTAGATACGTCTCGGTTTGAGTGGCAAGTCGTAAAAGTGGGCCTATTGTTGCGGTAAGTGCCACAGCGGTGTCTACGCTAGGAACGGCAGATCCAAAGAATAACCTGAGAAATAATCTGAAAAAAAATATATGGTTCCATTTAAAAAACAAAACTTGACCATCATATCTCTTAAACTAATAATGCAAAAGATTTTTCACTTCGACCAATACATAGGCCTCCTTTTTCCATGCAATTTCCATATCAACAATTTTATGTACCATTAATAGTTACAGAATAAGAGCTCTGTATCAGTTTAAATGGGACACCCTGTAGATCAATTAGAATTTTGGTGTTTGAAAATTCTTTTTTATTTGACTATCTTCAAATCTTTTGACTTTATGTTCACAAAAACCTTGATTTTTATTTTTAACATCAAAAGAGTTTGATACAAATCATTTGCAGGGATCTTTTAAAATAATTTCTGTGTTAAGTTGGTTTTTCTGATTTAATGGTATCGAAAGCCTTGATTTTTATTTTCAACATCAGGTATTGATAGAATTCATTCTCGTACATTTTTTGAATTTAATATTTTAAATAAAGTTGTTTAAAAATGATTTGGATCGGATATAAAGTGGATCGCGTATATCGAAGGCCGGTGATGCGATCTGCAGTGATCGATGGAAAATCTCGTTAAATTAATAGCGACTCTTTTTTCCCGGTACTTTTGAAACATCCTTTGAATGGATGCAACTTGAAATTTCTATCGAACGTAACACGCTCGGACTTTTGGCTATTAAGTGGGTACTTTTTACGTTGCGCGTTAATTATCGATGGTGCACGTGATGCAAAAAACTGCATCCCTCTTCTCGGCGTGCCCTGATTTTAATATTTTCACCGCGGTCGGTTGAAAGTCAGCTTCGATTCATTCGAACGTTGCGAGGACGAATTAATTAATATCGTGGCGTGTAAATTGATGGCAAGGTGGGGTCACAGACGTTTGCTTCTGTTTGAACTTGCTAATACTACTCAAACACGAGATCTGAGCCTGATGAAAAGAACTGTCGTATATGAATTTCGACAAAATAAAGTTTCCAGTATTTAAAATTTTTATTATTAATTTCTCTATGACTTAATATTAGATAGAATGTTTTATTTTAACTTTTACAATTTTAAATTCCTTTTTATATTCTATGACCCAAATTACTAATCAAATTATATTTGATGGTTTTAATATATCAATGCTGAAATATTATTCATTTTTCAATTGTAATCAATATTTGATAGATCAGGTATTTCTTGTTTCTCAGTCTCGTGTTATAGAAAAATAAATTAAATTTGTAGTAGTGTTTCGTGCATGAAACTGACTTTTTGTTTTCTTTTTTTTCTTGTTTAGGTAGAATCGGTGGATTTGGCATTAAAGATCTTGGATAAGTCGCAACTCAGGGGTAAAACGTTGTCTGTTCAGAGGGCAAAGTTTCAAATGAAGGGAGAGGCGTACGATCCAGCCTTGAAACCGAAACGGAAAAAAAAGGATAAGGAACGACAGAAAAAAATCCACGAAAAGTAAGTCGCATTCAGGATCATTTTTTTTTTCTATTTATTTTTAATTCATTAATATATAATCAAAGTAGCCGTATAAATGGATTATTTCTTTTTTAATGACATCAAAGAGCAGCAAAATTAATATTCGAGGAAAAAAGGATCTTGCTAATTACCGCTCTTTACGTTAAATGAAACTAAATTATGATCGAAAAAGAAATGGAAACCTCATTGAAACCTTTGATACATTTTCAGTATGCATTCTTTAATATTTTATCCCGCATTCCGTTTTTATTTATCATAAAAATTCGTCGCGCAAGCGTTTTTATTTTACAACCTCAAGGGGAATATCATCAAAGAGAAGCGTGTCAGCTTTTTCATCGTCAGAATGCAAGAGGAATCTTTGAACAAGGCGAATTCTCACGCTCGGCTCTCCCGTAAAATTGTATCTTAGAGAATTTCAAGCGTTTCGTGTTTCTTTCCATTCATACCACTTCAGTTCATTCATCTTTTCGTGCTGGCAGCCGTCCGAGGATGCGCGTTATACGTTACTGTTCAATCTCTGGGAAATCGAGACACGCTTCATTCTTACGCTCGATTTACATTAGTTACGGTGTACACGCGTTCTCGGCAAATATTGTGCGATGTTCCACAAATTGATTGCCATGGAAAATGACCATCATTGCCAATTAACTATACTTGAAAAATTAAAAGAAAACAATAGAAAAATACTCTTTTTAATAATATAGAATTTCAAATATAAAATTAAAAAATTTAAAACTCTAATTATTCAAAATAGAAATAATTAGAGTTTCAAGCTGTCCATTTTCACTGTGGCATTCAGCGTGTTGACACAAGTATAATGATGGCTATATTGGACCATAGTGACGGAGACAATGCGTATTGTTCCCGAAATTCATCGGTTCCAAATTCTCCATTCAGCACAGGCTTTCTTATCTCCGTTCGTGGTGTCCATAATCATCAGTTAGTCGAGTGTTTGCCGTCTTCATTGGTGCTCATGGTTATCCGGCATAGGACGAGAGGCCAGGGTTCGATGGCCTGAACTTGGTGAAAACCAGTTATTTACGAACGAACCGGGCCCTCCTTGACTGTTCTTTGCCGGAAGTCTTAGCTCTAACGGTCTTTTCGCATTCACGAATCGAATCGGCTATCTAGTTTCCAATTCCAGATGATTTTCTTCCTATCGGTCTGAATGTCGATCGACTACGTCGATACCATAACGATTTCCACGTTTTCAATGTACACGTACTTGCACATGGGGAGAGCGATGAGGTTGAAGAACATTGGCGTAAGTTGGTAGGGGCCAGGGTGAGCATGCCCTCTTCAGAATTATTGCGTTAATAATAAAAAAAAATTCTTCAGCTGAAAAAAATCTTATCTTAATTCTTAGAATACATAGTGGAACATGATTGAGTAATTAACGTAAAATTTAGAATTTTGTTTATAATTAATGAAAATTATTTTTCACTTAGAAGTTAGAATATTGATCCCTATTACTGTATTTTTTTTTCTTTTAATTAAATTAAATCATTGTATGGAAAGCATTTTTTGAGGGCACATTAACTAGGACAAAATTCACCTTTTCTGTTTTTATTGAAACATAATGAAATATTAATTTATTGAACTCGAAAAAAAATATTTTCATAAAAAGAAAAGATACTAATATTGGTATTAATTCTTAACAGATGAAAATAACGACCCAGAATTTTTTAATTAATTTATTAATGTGCAAGATTGCTTAATGGCTCCTTAATAGGTACTGGTATCCTAGATACGAAAAAAATAGTGTAATTACTTATTATTCTGTAATTAATTATTATTTATTCTAAAATAAATATTTGGGTCATATTGCAAAACGTACAGTAACATCCTTATTGTGTGAAATTATAAATAAAAATTAAGCGACCCTGGACAGTTTTAATAAAGATAAAAGACCTGACCCACACAGAAAAAAAATAATCTACTTATATCTACACCAATGCTGAAGGATCCCCTGAATCGTTGAAATCGTGAGTACAATTTGGATCGGTCTGGTGTTTCGCACGATTGATGGTGGTTGATGGCCGTAAAGCGGTTTAATCTCGTCTGGATGGATTTTAGTAGTGGATGCGTCGATTGTTTTTGTATGCCGAACTGTTGAAATGCTTTGATCGAATGATTGAACAAGTTGTATTGTGTTGAGATCTCGACGTTCAATCCGTTTGATAGTTCGCCATTCAGTTTTGTTTAATTGCTGGACTGTCGTTGCTGAAATGCAGCGTTTAAACAATCGTTTTTCGATAGAAATTTCATCCGATGTTAAAGCTCTTGCTTTTATTTCTTTCAGGTTTAATCTTGTCTTTATCATTTACTAAATTACGTATATACGATAAATTAAATACACTTTAACCTGTTAATTGGGAAATGTTTAAAACGCAATTAAATTCGTCTATAATAATAAAGAGATATGAAACGTTTTTTAATTACTGTATTCATGATACCATTTAATAAAATTGCTTTTCCACGGGAAATATTTACATTTGAGGCAATTAATTAAAAGTGTTGATTTTGAAGGGTGTCACTTTGATCTGTCCAGTGAAAAGCGTACATAATAATATATTAAATAATATTTTTAATGTAAACCTATTTCTGTTTTCGAACCTTAAGTAATTAGTTTTTTATACACTGATAACTGAATGAATTTTAAAAATTTTATTAGCACTTCGTTTTATTATTAGAATAAATTATTTTTACGTTTCTCTTAATGGCCATCTCTCGTCATTAATAGTGACATTTTTTATCAGTATTTATTTGAGAGTATAATTTACAATTTGCGCATGACAATTAATTTTAGTTATTCTTTACTGTAAAATTATACAAAATCATTGTCTACAGAGCAATGGAATTTAAGATACAGATATCGTTAAAAATGTGATTAACATTTTAATTGAATGAATCAGACGGGCGATAAACGGTCGAAATTTTACGATGATTTCATTCGTGAATAAAATTAGCGAGATAACACGTTCCAGTTAATTTCCTGTCACTGTAAACATTTGTTTTTCGCGATAAATATGTAACAGGAGCGCGTTTCACAGTTGCCATATATTTGCCCAGTGCTAACATTAACATACTCTTTTTTTATTTTGGCAAAATTCTCCACACGTATCGTAATGAAATGTTATCTAAAAAAACCAGCGTCAATCATACTCGAACTTTTGCAAATTACTTTTCGATGATTGCATAAATTATTACGTGAAACTATATTGAGATCGCTTAACGCATTGAATCATCAATGACCGACGCGACATTTCTAGTTTACGTCATCGAGGTCGTCGTTTTACATAATTCGTTGACAAAAATAACAAGCAGTTCGATTTGAAACTAGAAGTAGGAGCTTCTGAAAATTTTATCGGTTCACTCTAAAATCAATTAAAAATGAAACGGTTACAGAAGTTCCCGCAGGAAAATAGCAGTTCTCGAAATCCTAATTTTGACGATATTAATATTGAAAAAGTGAATAGACTCCAACTTGTATAATATTTAGTTATCCGGGTACTAAGTCTCTCGAGTACTACTCGTTTCCAATCAATAGCCTCTATTTACATCAAATGCATTTTCAATCCCCACTTTCAACATGTGCATCATATTTTTTTATATCTTCCTAATTGATGATACAGTTATGATGAAATCTTCTCGCTCCTGTTCTAACATTCAGAATAGAAATATAAGTAATGTCTAATCACGTACAGTGATTCACTCATGACAATTGTGCAGCGTGCATAATATAGACAGAACTATTGGTCGATGTCTATTTGTGCTATAAAATCACTGTACCACATAGTCATGGCTAGTTCACACCCTGTAGTTTGTAAAAGGCCTCACATACCACCCACTCTTACATCATACCGCATAATGTTCTCCGTAAATAGATGTAATTATCTCGTTACATCTATGCGAACACGTGTCTTAATCTGATACGCTCGTTTTCTTTAATTTATATACAAATTTCGATCGTTTATTAAAATTTTATTTGTCCTACGGCATATTGAGCGATTGAAATATTGACCATCGATTTCTGCGTTATTGGCTAAATATAAATTTGGAAGAAAAGTGGTAATTTGAATAAAAATCGGAAAAAAGGATTTGTACTTGCTATGTACATGTTTAATAGAAGTACATATTAAGCACCTGTGATGTGCATCAGAATATTTGAATGAATTAAAGTTTAGTGTTAAAGCTATAAAATTCGAGGCTTTATGACTTTCTGATGAATATGAAACATCATAACGTTAGGAAACCTTGTGCTGCGAAATACAATTTGTGTTTTTTTTTCTGTTTAATAAGTTATTTCAAACTACGGTTTAAAATAGAAAATATTAACACATTCTTATCGGGAAACGAGAATTCTCGTTTTTTACCCCGATTTATATGAAAAGTTTGTGAAGAATAGCCTGATGCAAATGTGTTAAGTAAATAGACAATCGTTTTGTATTTGGTGAACTTTGATTATTATCAGGAAATCAGGGTATCGAATAGGGATTATTTACAAACAACTATTCAATTTATCTGAAGAAAATATATCAAAGATAAAATAGAGAATTTAGATAATAAAATTTACCTTTGTATCAGTTCAGAATGGAACTGCCATTGACATTGTTTATGATCTCAATTTCTTTTGTTGCAGATTATTCGACTGGAGGCCAGAGCGTCCACTTGGTGAACCGGGAAAGCATGAAAAAGTGGTGATTATAAAAAATCTATTCTCCCCGGAGGACTTTGACAAAGAAGTCGCCTTATTGTTGGAATACCAACAGGATATCAGATCCGAGTGCCTAAAGTGCGGCGATGTCCGAAAGGTTGTTATTTACGATGTAAGTATTGATCCATTCATGTTTCAATTAGCAACTAAAATAATTGGAAATGTAGGGAAAGAAACTTTAAAATAATTAACGTATTTAACATTACGCAGTCTAATTTTTACTAATAATGTAATTTAGGATTTATATTAATTATCTACTTCAGTTAATTAGCTCTGTGATAATTAACAGTTAAATTGAACAAAATATCTATCAGTTAATTAGTTATTGACATTTTAATTAATTTCACTGTTAGGTATTAAATTTAGGTACTGTCATACTAATAACATTCTATTAGTTACGAGGATAGAACATCTCATTAGAAATCCCATTAGCTTGTGTTTTACGAGCCCCATCATTTATGAGGATAGAAGCCATTACCTAAGCACCAAAATCTAGGTCGATTGTTAACACATTCTGTGTCGCGTAGGTCATCGTTGACCTATCAACGATCTTTACATCCGAGCCCTTTGATATCGTTGTTATTAACAACGATAGTATCGCATAATATTTCATAACGTTGTCAAGTAGAATACCGTATCTCCGCAGCACGATCATCCAATCGTAAATCTCCCTAATGATCCATGTAGAGTAGGGCGCTCTTTTATTTAAGTGTCTTGCATCTGCCATTGTGTCCAATATTCAGCATTTTTTTTAATTATTACATGACATGTTTAATAAATTTATTAAATTAAATTTCTTTAAAAGAGGATCTTATAATTACTCTATGAAAAACAAATATTTAAAATAAATTTTGTAAAAATTCCATCTGTAAATTATTTGAAAAATTTTAATAATTCACAAAGAGCGAAATAAAGGTCAAATTAATTAATGACAAACATTTATTTTCAAGAGAACGAGAGTTTTTAGATATACAGTTACATACAGTTTTTAATTGTGAAACAAATTTAAAGGTCAGATTTATTTGCAAACGATAGAAACGGAGCAATTAAAGCTTTGTTTTTCTGCAACTTTATTTTTCAACGTTCTAGTTGTTTGATGGAACAGCGGTGTAACGTTAAATCGGTTCGTTTTTATTGTGCTTATTCTTGCTTTAAGTCCTGTTTTTCTGTTTCAAACATCGTTAAGCTTATTGCTCGTTTCCCGTGCTCAGAAACGATGCATCGTTTTACAAAGCAGATTTCTTTCCTATTACATCATTCCAGTTCTGTTAGTTTCTTCGGAGAACAACGAAAACAGTCTCTCCAAAAGAGTCGAATATTTTTGGGTTCTGGGTCACCTTGAATGATTTATAACCATTTCATAATATTTTGAAATTAGGCAACTTGTTACCTGAAAGTTAGAAAGAACTTTCCGTTGCAATATTATAAATTTCTTATTTGAATTCATTCTGAATTCCACTAATTCGATACAAATATAATCGTATATATTATAAAAACATAAATTGTAGAAAAATATTTGAATAATTTAAACCTACAAAAACATGAAAGTAATTTCTTCACGAATCATAATCAGCTCAGTTTCTCAGAAATCTAACATTTCATAATTTTTCTTTCACTAATTAAACAGAAAAACTATACTCGTGCAAAATAAACTTCAACCAGAGTTCATAAAAAATGATTTTCAGTTCCCCTTAAATTTCATATCGTTCCATTTATCAGAAAGAAATATGAAAAATATTTCACTCAATTTTCAACCGGACATCATACTTTTCAATCTCGTTCGAAAAAAAGCTACCAATCAAACCGAAAACAAATTTTTTATAATAAAAACAAAAGAAGATAGAGAGAAAAGATGAACAAGCAAAATTGGATGCTGGCGTCATGTTACGCCAACTTAATTGAATTTCACGCCATAAATTCGTAGAGGAGTTTCCTGCCGGTACAATCGAGGGATCGATCTCGAAAGGATCGATCAGAATAGTCGAGAGGAAGAAGATGCTCCCTGTGGTAGGACGATCACAAAGAAATCGTTGGAAGGTCCTCCGCGAGGCGACGCAAATAAACCTTCGAAAGGGGATGACCTAACCCCATAAATTCGCAACGAGACACTCCCAGTCGGCGCGTCTCAACCGTGAATCCATTCAATGTCAAAGTGAATTCCATCGTCTGCTATGGGGCCCCTCGGTGTCGCTGCTAGCGAACCAGTGAAAAACGGCTCGAGATCAAAAGCATCGTGCGAAAGGAAATTTCGTGGCTGGTCAATTTACCCGTGATACTCCTCGTACCCGTATTTTCCAGACCGTTTTTGAGACATGTGTGTAACTCGGTAAAAAACTTGGTCGAATGAAAAAATGATCAAAAGACCCGGGACTCGGTTAGGTCGTCGAATTTACCCAACGGTTCAGAGACTATGTTTGTTCGCTCGATTTACAGCGATTCGAGGAACATCGTTTCACTGTAGCTTTCGATTAGGTCCTTTTGTTTGGGCTAATTCTTCTCGTTATATAAATTTGTTCTTCTTTCTGCTTTTTATTTGATCGGTCTATTTATTTATTCGAGTGAGCTTATTTTTAGTTTCTTTTGGGGCTAAAATAATTCTTGGTTAATATTATTGGTCCCATTATGTTTCTTTTTATTTTTAAAAGTATTTTGAAATATCTGGTACACTTAATAGAAGAATCGTAGTGAAATTTAATTCTATCTCGAATTTTCAAAATAGAGACCTAAAAATTGAGGAACTTAAAAATTACCAAGTATTTGGTGTTGCTGATATTATTAAACAGCAGTGTGTATTTATAATGTGTATATCGTGTAGTAAATGATGGATAAGGCGATCAACGAGTCGATTGATCTAACGAGCCAGAACGTGGTGAAAGAATTTCATGTCGCGCACGGGGTCAGACAGCAAAATTAATGTTCAAACCGAAGGCTCATAAATTGTGGTTTAAATCGTGGAGGGGGAAGAAAAGTATTGTGGAGAACTGTGGGCGACGTAGACGGCTTTAAGTCGTAAAACGGGAAGCCTCGGTTTTGTCGTTGCAACAAAGCGCTTGCAATGCAAGTGAAAAGACGACCTCCATCCGTCTTAGTGTGCGGTTAAACGAGCCATTGTTTAATTAACATACGAGTCGCTTTGAAACTAAAATGAGATAGCATTGTATTCTCACACTTGAAGCATCAAATTATGTATAATTTAAGAAAAGTAAAATGTATGTAGAAAATTGACGTGCATAATTACTGTAGGATAGTTTGTTGACGATTGCATTTGAAATTTTTTTAAATAATGTTAAATGGAGATACAGATTTTTAAAATAGCAATTATGGAATATTAGAAACGTTTTTCAAAATTTAATTGAATTATTCTTTTCGGAAATTCAGGTGCTAATGTAAATGATCAGGTACACATAATTAATTGAAATTATATAATTACTAAAATAGTAAATAATTTATTGTGTTAATTTTATACGTCATCTAGTGGTTTGCGACGAGCGAATAAAATAGATAGCTATTTGTTTCAAAAAATAAATGTGTTTTAGAAATAAGGGTCTACAAATTAGGAAACAAAAAAGAAATTTAATTTAATATAAATTTTTGTATTAGTAGATCATCATTTAAGGGCTAATTGTAGATCTTTATGATTTTCAATTAATTTATTAATTTATAGACTGAACATTGTATTATTTTTAACAATACCAAATTATTATAATCACCCTTTACTATTGGTTCTTTATTGAAACAGTACCCTGAGAATTCAAGTGCGATTGTCCTGAATGTTTACAGAGACATCCTGAAGGTGTTGCACAGGTGACATTCCGAGAGCCAGCTGAGGCGCAAGCCTGTGTTCAGTTATTGAACGGTCGTTGGTTCAGCCAGAGGAAAATATCGGCTGAAATCTGGGATGGCAAGACAAAATACAAGTAAGTTTACCCGTCGCTTTACCTCTTTATCGACAATTTTATCAACTCAGTCTGTGACCATCGACGAGGATAATCTCTCGTCGGTGATGTAACCAACTTTGAGCCAACTCGGTCGATAGCTAACCTACACGTTCCTCCTTTTGAAACTGTTCCGTTCTCATGCTTCACGATTTTCACTTTACCGACACTAGGAAACACAGACAACTACACTTACCTTATAAGCACTTATCTTACATTGTTTATAATGAATTTTAATTTTTATGACTCTTTAAATTGTATTTTTTTATTGGTAGTTTTATTTTAACTTTTGTTAAATTTTATCATTGAACTTACTGGATTTTATAAGTGTGATCTTGTATTTAATTGTATGAATTTATTTACAGTATCTTATGAAACTTTTTAAATTTATTTTATACATAATATTAACTGAAGCTTTATTGAAGTAAACTAGATGGTTTTTTTATTTATCTAAGGAGAATTATTTGAAGAATAACACATTTGATAAATTATCGAGATATTCATAAGTATTACAGATTTTTATATGTTTATTTGTATTATAATTATTTCTTTATATAATATTTTTATATATTTATTAAATTGATATTAGTTTGTAATAATCGAAGAAACAGGATTCGACATTGCCGATTTTGATTTTGCACTTCATTATATGTATTTTTTTTTTTTTTAATTTGCTTATCATTACCTGATTAATTAGTGTAATTACAGTCATTCAGTCTTTTTTAAGGTATACTTTTCGTAAGTCAAATTTGTTTTTTTAATTGTTTTAAAGAATTCCAGTTATTCTTATTTGACAGTAGTGAAGCTGATAGTGTACAACCTCCTTCGTATTCAAATCTTAATTAATTACTCTAATTTTTCTTCGATCCTTAAATTAGAGTTTCTTTTATTCCAGTGTAGCTTCATCATCGATTCTCAGATTTCCAGCAAAAACTAAATCATCCAAATAATTTCTTTTTCCTACACATTAATCATTTTTCTTCCTTTTACACTTATTTATTAGTTTCAGCATAATCACGTAATTGCACTATCTTTAAGTTCATTTAACTAATTATCCAACATTTCAGCCAATAATAACAATCCCTTGGATCAATTTCTCGTTCTCAAATAACCATCCATTTCAATCCCTATAGAGTTAAAGACCAATTTCTGAGCATCCGTTTCCTAGCTGCTCATTTTCATTTCAGATTATTCAAGACAATTAAATCAGTCTCTGAAAGTAAAATACAAATGATTGCCAGAGAGGAAGCAAAGAAGATGCTGGCGGTGCTCGTCAAATCGATTTGTTTTTTAGGGTTACAGAGACTGACGCGGAGATCGAAGCCAGAATTGCAAAATGGGACAAGTTTCTGGAGGGCGAGGAGGAGAAGAAAGAGGCTGCCGCGAGGAACGAACAGCGTAGCAATGAAAAATCAATGGCGGAGAAATCTGAGGCTTTCCAAGGAAAAACGGAGCTTCCCGAAACGACGTTGAAAGCATCAGCTGAGAAAACGGAAGCATCCAACGTGGAGGAACCTCGGAAGAAGACGAAAACTGCGGATGAAACGGAAACGTCGTCGAATTCCGATGATTCTGACGAAGGGGATAGAAATAACCAGTAGAATAGAGAAATATTTTAATAAAATGCAATTCATCATTCGGGTGGAAAAATGTTTTGAAAGAATAATTAAGTGTGTAACATAACGTATGCCTGTAAGGGCGAGGGCGCACTATCGAGTTACCCCTTGGCTGCTCGACTTCAGAATAATTAAGTGTAACATTACGATCGCAATTAGAAAACAGAGTACTTTTTTTCCAGGTTACGAGGTAATTGCTTGTAATTTCTCATTGTTGATGACACTGAGTATCATTATACTAGTTGCGCCGTAAGATGTTGCTGTTATTTGGATGAAATAAAAGAAAATAACTTTCTCTGCAGCTTTTGATTCAGTAATTTCCTATTTCTTTCAGCATTGGACTAAATTTTACAGACTATGATTCTAGAAGATTTTATGTATTATTATAATTTTTCAGCATTCTTCATTAATCTTGAGGTACTCCTGATTTCTTAATTATTGATTTTTGATTTTTATAGTAAAATTAATTAGAGAACACAGGTATCGCAAATGGTAATTGTACTCAAAATTTAATTAGAACACATTTAAGGACTTCACATGGATTAAAGGAAAAAAATATTTAGACGCATGGTTTTATTATGTTTGTAATTAAATATTGCAATATTATAATATGAATTTTACACAACGTAATTATACAACGTGACTGCTTTTTCGAAATGGAGCGATTACAAGAAATTGTAAGGTAAGAAAATATTTCTTTTTTTATTTACTTATTATAATATTAGAGTCTTAAGGTTACAGTAATAATTGAAATACCATAGAAATATCTGCGACTTGAAGAAAGTAGCTATGAAAGCATTCTGTATAATTCCCGATCACCTTGAACGTGTTCGTTGATTGTCAACGAGAAATTCCATCGGTTTGAAGGGTTTTCATCATAGATTCTAGTTGGTTGGTTCCCATAGTTGGCTGGACCACTCGTTCCGCGTTTCGCTACAGAAGAGGAGCCGACAGAATCGCGTTTTTTGATAGATCAGCAACAGCCTCTCACGAGCAAAGTCCCACGAACGAGCTCAACACAAAGCTCGCCAGGAATGTCGAAATAGCAAATTAGGGGATTCCAGGAGATTTGCCGTCTCTCTTCCGTTTCTTTCTTCCCCTCGTTCCAACGCTTTGTCCGTGTCCGCTTCAACGTCACGCGGATCCGCGCTCCGTTGCTGCTGATTCCAACCCTTTCAACAAACTTAATCTGGTAATGATCTATTGTTTCGCATTGCTTTAACGAATTATCACACCTGGATGATGATCGTTTCGTCGCTTCGATGATTCTTTTTCAATTTAGAGAATACAATTCTTTGATATTTTTTTTAAAACATCGTCTTTTTAATTATAATTATCATAAAATGCCAATCGACGTGAAATTTAATTAAATTATTCAGAAGATTTTAGATTCATTCTTAAATATAAAGAATTTCATTGTAATTCTTCATTAGTAATTTGTAACTATACAAACAATATTTGTCATTAATATTTATAGACAAATTTGATTTGGTTGAAATTAATTTTTTTTTTTTAAGTACGGAGATTATTGACTGCTAGAATGTGTTGTTTGCACTGCAAGTGACAGAAATGCAACAGTTTCCACATCGGAGAAGGTTGCACAACAAGTATGCTGCAACTACTTCAAAGATCCATATTTAACACAATGGCCGCATAAGTGCATTTCAAGCTTAATCCCCACGGCACAATTATCAATCGTTCGTGAATTGAATTTATAATAGCTGAATAGTTGCAGGTATTCAAGCGGATACTTGGCAGCAAAAACAAATTCTGTTTCTTTCATTAGCGAATTATACTTCACGGTATTGAATAAAAACTCGTGTCGATCTCGCTTTAATTACATGTAACGAGAAAATTCGCATCCTATTACCTCAGGTATCAATGAAATCGCGTGACTTTCAGTTTTTCATGTTTCTAACAAATTTTCCAATTAAATACAAAGTTTTATTTTTATAAATTTGTGTTACAGATATCTATGGTATATTCTTTTATAAATTTCTTAGGCTGTTTGATGCAACATTGTACGTTCGCTAATTGTTGTAATAGATCGTTTTAGTTCAGCTTCATTCTCGAGAAAATTTTTGTTTTAATTGTATTAATTACATCGATTAACCTAGAATGTAGTGTTTCAGTTTAATTATTATTCATTTAGAATCATTTCATTATGCAATGTGATACTTTGACTAATTAGGAAAATTAATTAATTACATTAATTTCAGGTGTCGGTAACTAATGACTATATAGGTAATTAGTGTCTTAAGTATCCAATGAAATTTTCAAATGATTACTCTTTTAATGAAAAATTAATAATATCAATAATTCTTTAAACATCCAACCAACCAAGATACTTGAACTTATCAAAAAGAGTACTCTCCACTCATCACGCATTATGATACTCGATCGAGCAATAATCCAACCCCTATGCCAAGTTCATCCCTCATATCTATATAGCAAAACAAAAATTGCACCAGTTATTACAACGTCCATCTTACACAGACAATCATCATCAAGTTTCACCGTCCTTCTTTCGAAGGACTTTTCAAAGGGCTAACTCGAAAAACCGTGTTCAAGATTCACCGTCCATTTGCCCCTTTTCTCTCTCTCTCTCTCTCCTGATCTGCATTGTCTACCGTTGATGCAGGGGTGCGCATCCCCTGGCCGAAGCGCGAGGAAGCATATTTCAGACGTCTCGTCCCATTCAGACCGAGTCGAAGGGGGATTGCGACCCCGTTTGGCAATATCACCGACGAATTTAATGCCCAACTATTAACAGCGGGATCCATCCACCTCCTGCATTGTTCGAGTGGCCACGTGCAGGATGACTGCCTCGCGTGCTGGAGAAACGTTTGATCGTCGATCCGGCTCGGTAAGATCGTTCACGGCTAGAGGAGAAGAAAAAAAAAGGTTCCTGCATCGTGTCACACTTGTCGAGGGTTATTGGATTTGGCCCGCGCCATGGGGGGTCCTTCAGGACCTGCCGGGTTACATAGAAGATTAGGCGCCGGGCTACGACACGATTTACCACGGTCAAGTGTCCCCGACACTGTTTGCTCGGGATCGCTTTAATAGTACCCGGTGCAATGTTACTGTTAATCGCATTTATAATGGCTACCAAGGGTGCTTTTTGAAATCTGCCAATTGGTGTTCTTGATAATTCAACTCAAACGTTATTTGACGCGATGGAAAGAGAATAAGTTGTGTGAAATGATTGGAAATTAGAGTGCAATGTTTATTATTTAAGAAGACAAAATTCTTCAATCCCTATCTAATATATTTCCTTTCCATTTCAGAAATATCAACCTTCGCCACCATCGAATCTCCTCGAAGTTCACTGAAATCCGCTCCATTCGAACACTTTCAAAATCATTCCAATTCATCGATTCACAAAAACCATTTTCCACCTGAGAGTATTCAAGTCAATCAAAAAAAAAAAAAAAAAAAAATTCCATGGGAAGACGGAAACGGTAATCCTTCGAGGAGCCAGATTTCCCGGCAGGATCTTTCGAAGGAAAATTCCCAGGAGCAGGCCGTTCGTTTCTCCTCGGAGGCTGTGCTCGCCGTGGCAAATTAAGCTTCCCAAAACACCGCGAAACTGTTAATTAAGCACTCATTATGCGCGCGGCTCGGCTCAGTCGGACCAGGCTTGGGGTTGCGAGCGGCGAAAGGGTGGCGAACCGAGCTGCCTACCAACAGAGAGGCGATGATACCGGCTGTCGAGTAGGAGAAGAGAGGACAAGAAGCCGTAGGAGACGGGAAGAGAGAATGTAGTAGCTGGCCGAGCGAGAAGCAGGAGAGGGAGAGCGATTCTGCAATGAGACTGAAAGAGGAGGAGGAAGGAGAGAGAGAGGAAGGACGGTTTAACCCAAGTAGGAACTTCTTAATACCGGGACGGCAGTCGGGTTCATTGTGGGATCAATACAGAGACGAGCGGGCGTAGGAGTGGCAAACGTTGCCTCATTGGACGTCCTGTTCCCGCACGGTGATTGGCCGGTGGTGGTACTACCAGGAGGCGTTTCCTTTCCAGTTAGCCCCTCTTTTGGGGTGAACGAAAGGGGCAGGTAGGCCCTGACCCTCGCGAGGAAGGAGAGAACACGCGGCAAGTGGAAAAAGACGGAGCTGCGCGGACTGAGCAGTTGGAAAAAGACGGCGCACCGGTCTACGGTGAGGGTGACACGAGGCCGGGGGGTTCAGTCTGTGTTCGCCCATCAGAGACACATCACCAGCCACGATACGGTCCGGTTACGGTCTCTCCTCGCGAGGGTAGCTCCCCTGTAAACCAGGTGTTACACGCTTCTACGTTCTGCTCCTGGACGCGGCGAGCCCTTGAACTTGAACAGTGTCCCCGCATGCTTTTGGACATTTCCTTAATTTCATCGTTTTTATCCCTCCTTCGATCGATCGATCGGTACCCGCGTCAATGTCGAGGATCAACGAGAAAGTGGAGAACAAGGATTTCAGTGTTTCCCAATCCTTTTGCGACCAGTGCTTGAACCTGTGATCTGTACGATTGGACTGTTTGGAATCGGTCAAACTTATTTTGAACCGATCGAAAGCAAGAATTTTTAAGCAAAACAAGGGAAAGAATTGTATAAAATTGCGAGCGTTGAATCAGAGAAAGAAGGTTGAGAAAAAGCGGAGCCAACGGTTCGGCTCCGACCTTGTCAACACGTGCTTCTGAAAACATACAACAAAAACTCCATCCTCGACTTCCGATTCGAACAGTGCTTCGTGTCGTTGCTTCCTAAGCCAGAGCTCAGTGCAAAGGTGACCCGATGTGAATCAAGGAGACCAACATTGTTACGATTACAGTGACCGTTAAGTGTATTATAAAACCAGTCGTGAAGGTGTTTACATGATCGAAAGTCCATTGGTACGAGGAAGTGTTGATTGTTACGGTGCTTGTTTATCAGGGGATCGCCTCGTCCGTATCCTAATACATCTTTGGCAGCAGATAAATCAAAGGAATTTAAACTGAAATTCAAAGGTGACCTGACGTCTGCTCGCGAACGGTGCTCGGTGAAGATGCTTAGATCAGCCTGACACGCCGATCATCTCGAACTCGTCGCGTTTTCGGTAGAAGTGAAACCGGAGATCGTCGAACAGTTGATAGATAAAGGTGCGAGTCGAAGTGGACAGGATAGAGGAGGCGAGTGGACAGAGTGGAAATAAAAGATAGTGTACGAACGGGTGGTGCGACGTTCGGGTACGCAAGTCGGCAGGCCGGCTCTGGGGTGCCGGGCCCGGGCGGGGTGATGAGCTGTTCCGAGGTGATGTATCAATATTATCCTTACCTCTACCAGAGGCCACCGCCGCCGCCGCACCCGACCCACCCTCATGCGGCCCCGCACACCCATCCCCACACAAATCCGCATGCGGCCCACCACAGTCCTGCCAGGCCGGCGCCTTTTCAATCCTTCTCCGCGGCCACCGCGACGCATCAGTACGACAGGGTGAGTGAATCAATTATATTTATTTATCTATTTTATAGGGAGAAAGCTTCTTGCCAGAGCATCGTGGAAAGTTTCAATGGTGTTCTCTTGACACCTTCATTGCTCGACTATAAATAACAGACGAGACTATAAGTGTATTAATGATATAGTTATTACATAATGAATGGTTCGATTAGTTTTAACGTGGCACTGAAAGTGTTAATGGTTTCCTGTGCGGGATCATCATGGTATGATGAATCGTGATGATTAAGTTATAGATACTGTCAGTTTCTTGCTTGCTTTTTGAAATAAGACATAGTGGAAAGAATGATGATCCTTTTGTGTGATTAGAAATAATTCTGCTCGGGTGGAATAATATCAAAAGAAAAAGACATGTGTTCTTCATCCTTTAATAACTTGTTGCTTCAGATTGAAATGATTCGTTTCTTTTTCGGAGTACAAAGGTCCTTAGAAAAGGGTTGAAGTTAATTCTGAATTACTAATGGAAGATTTAATCTTCTATATTTTTGCTGATTAAATTCGAATAATAAAGTTTGAAGATTGTGTTTTTTCTAATGCTATCATTTTCACTGTATTTACACAAGAAGGGTGTAATTACGATCAAATAACACAGTTAACATCAATTTAAAATAACTTCTGCTAACGATACAATAGGATACGCGATTCTCTGATCTCCGACGGCATTCTCCCCGATGCTTTGCAAGAAACTTTCTTTATGATAACAAGTTTAAAACAGGTTTTCGAGGAAAATGGAACTTGTGAGGTCTGAGTCTTGTTTGCTTGTTATTGAGTCTTCATAAAATGATAACAAAGTAAAGTGTCTTCTGTCTAATATCGAGTACCAATTTCGGACTTCATTCGTTTCACTTTTATCTTATCCTTGCAATAAAAGAAATACAAGAACAGATTGCTAGTGAGTAAATACAATAGATTATACGTTTTTTAAATTGTTTATTTACAAAAAGAAATTTTTAAACATAAACTAAAATCGTTGTGATTATACCGATTCAGCAAGGGCACGTTGTTTTTCACCAGGAATATTTCGTGAAAATCGTATAATTTAATAGGCGACACTAATTAATTACGAATTTTAACAACTTCCACTTTCAATAAACATGAAATCGTTAGATGGTATCATTCTTTATAGTCACTATATTATATGACGCTTGGTATCGTCGTTAAAATTCTCATAAAGTCTGTAATGGGGTATAAAATCTGTAAATTGCCCAGCCTATATAATCATTACAATATATTATCGAAATGCCATTTATCAGTTCTAAGAGAATCTCCAATAATCTGTGAAATCATTACATTTTTGATGTTTTAAAATTCGTTTCTGACAATGAGATTTATTTCTCAACTTTAATTTTTATAATAGATAAAAATGTCACTTCACAGAATCTCTTTGCCAAAAAGTCATTTTTATTATTTTAAATAATACAAGTTTCTCAAATAATAAAAAAACGCGAGGATAACATAGATTGAAGCATCTTTTCGCTGAAAAACGATCTACACCGCGAGGATTGAACTACGGGGATTTAGATGTCAACGGGTCGTTAGGACCCGGTTCCTGACACATTATTCATAACCATACGTGCTGTCATACTGGACGTGTATCGCGCGGCTTGTCTCGTCTCGAGATTACAAGCTGGTCGCGTTTCAGCTCGACCCGCCTCTAAAAAGGACCATGACAGCCACCGCATCGACTGGTTGGTTCAGATTTAAAATTCGTTGCTCCTCGAAAACAATGAGATACGCCGATTACGTAACATCCTTGCGGAGGATCTTTGCTTTTATGCTCGTGATTTTCATCTCTTCCTCGTTCGATCCTTTGTATGTTAACATTTTGATGGTCCATCTAATTTTAACATATAATTTCAGTTTATTTTTATTCAGTCAAATATACATTACATTTTCATTTAGAAACTAGTCATTTTGTGACGAACCTCATAGAAGCTTCAAGATATAATTCTTTTAGAAATACAATACAGTGAAACCTCGATAACTCGAACCTCAAGGGAAGGGAAAAAATGTTCGAGTTATAGAGGTTTCGATTTATCAAGTTTTCGAGTAAGAGAGGTTCGATGAAAGAAAATTCGATTTCTGAAGGTGTAGAGAACAATAAATTTAAGTTTTAAAGATTAATTGTTTATTGTATACTTATAACTAAATATCCAACTTAACTTACACTATATAAACATAATTTACATTTACACGATGTATAGAGGTCATGGTTCTCCTATCTTCGAGTTGTAGTTGCGACAAATAATTCGAGTTAGCGGAAGTTTTATTTTGAGTTCTAGAGGTTTTTATAATGGAGCGGAAGGGAATGGAAAAAATTTTCGTCTTATAGAGGTTTTCGAGTTATCGAGGTTCTACTGTATTTCCAAAACTAATGGTATCATAAAATATGTGACTGTCAAAGTGTTAAATTGTCTAGCAATAAGTGTTTACGTTTAAATGACATTTGAAAACTCCCATTTCATGTTTCGAGATGATCGACTGTAGTGACTTTTAATATGGAAAGGTCTCTTAAATGTCTTTCTCCTATTAACTACCATTTTGTATTAAATTGCAACAATTTCTACGTTTAACACCATCGATCGTTTCCGTGTTAGAATCACGGGTGATCGAGGGTATCGCCAGCGTTGAAATCTCGTTAGACAAGTCCCAACTCGGATTATGACACCCAACAAGCATTTGTCCCGATATTTTAAACGCTATACACACATCTTGAGTTACTGGATTCGAATTAGCGGAGTTTGTTTCGAAACTGGAGGAACTAGTTTGTCCCGTTCGCACAAGTCGCTCGAACGGACAGGTAATCCATGGGGTGGTCAGGTGATGCGAAACTTTCTGTGAAAAAGATTTCTCTGGAACGGTGTACGCGTTTAGAAAGGTCGAAACCGACCCGTGAATCATTTGGAAATGTCGTTTCGGTTTCAACATAATTATTTGGTATGACACATTTTACAATATAATCATTAAGAATACGATCGTTTAATTCAATAAAAATTTCAGATTTTTCAAGACACTTTTTTTTTATTTTGCGACGTATTTTGTGTATTTAAAAAAATCTCAAAATTGTTATTAATTTAAACAAACTAATCAACATAGAATTATCAAATATATAGATAGGCGTTTAATTTTCTTGTTCTGATTGAAATTGCAAAGGCAACGTAATTAAATACATACATAGATTTTATTTATTCTTATTTTATACGAGTACTTATTCGTTTCATTTTCTGTCGGGTCGTTCTCGAGAAAGTACTAAATCATTCGGTAAAATGTTTTTCGGAATTGGAAGTAAACAAAGATATAAAATAAGGATATTTTATACAATGTGCAGTAGTAATTCTTTATGATATATTTAGCTGGCAAGCATTTCTGAATCGTGATTATAAATTTCCGTGAACCTTGAATTATTTTCTGCATACCATGCATTCGCCACTATGTTGTATTTTAATAGAAATACCACCGTGATGTGCTCGATTTACGTCGAAAGATCTGTTTGTAGTTTATATTTGTGAATCATTAAGATACACATTGTAAAGAAATTTAAATTATGAGCTGAAATAATTATGTAAATAATTAAATAAGTACATTTGAAGGTACTTGTACTCTCCACTAAATTTAATTGAAGCATAAATGAAGTTTTAGTTTTGATTAATAAAATAAAATTAACTTAATATACATATATGACTGGATGTTAATGATATTTCTGTAGAAACTGAAATGAAAGAATTTAATAAGAAAAGAACTTCACCTCGGGTCTCTAATATTACTACATATTTAAGTATAAATAATTTAACAGCCCAAAAAGTACTGTATAGTAATCCTTTATTTCGACAAAAGTCGCCATAAATTTCTACATTGACAATTTCTCTAATAAAATAAGAAATCTGAGTTCCATCATTTTCCCGCGTTTGGTTGTCCTAAGTTAAAGAGAATCTTCTCTCATGCTTCTTCTCTTTCGTCGGTCAGCGTCCGGCAATATTTCTCGTCCCATAACAATAACGTGTTTACAAACAATCCAAGGGAGTCTCTGAGGTGTTTCACTTGACGCACGCTCCCTGAATTCCCTCTTTCAACCGGCCGTCCTTAAATAGTTTCGGCAGACAAGAGACTGAACGTGAATTTCTGCGAGTTTCATTCCTGGGCTCCTCTCTCTGCATCATTTTAATATGTCTGCTGGGAGGTCAGCCGTGCTCCTTGCCCTCCCATGAACTTATCCGTACACCATAGGCTGTTGGATACCGTTTTTCTTCTATCCATTCTTTCTACGTTGCCTCTTCCTTGCCATGTTTTTGCGGTAAATGTTTAGTCTCTGACTAAAGGTTCCAGGACTTTCAAGTCTTTTTCTGCCTTTTTGAACCTAAATTCATTGAACTTCTGTTCATCTTTATAATGAATAAATTAGGCGTTTAAATCTTAATTATTCATTTCTGTAACATCCTATAAACTTGAAATTTATTCTAAATAATATTATTCATAAAGAGGAAAAGAAAAAAAGTAAGCAAAAATTTGGAAGGCTTTTAAGAGGGCCCCCTTCAAAGTGGGGCCCATGACTGTAGCCTCCCTTAGACCTTCCTTTAATCGATCGCTGTATCCATTCGGTAAAATGTAATATAGCAAAGAATAAAAGAGAATACGGTGAACATCATCACCTGATGAAATGCAATTTCCATCGAGTCGAGTTTTGTACCGATACCGCGGCAGAGAAATAAATAAGCAACAGCCGGTATTACTTAGCCGACATTGAGAGGAATGTCGGGACGACGATGAGCTATCACGTCGTTTACCTACTTAAACTGTTTATCATGTGGTAAATTATACGAGCCGAGAATATGCTAATGAGAGGGCCGGAGATCTAACTGCATCTAAACGACGTAGATCGCTGATACGGTGAGGACTAGTGAAGAGAAATTTCTGAACGTAGTCGGAACACCGACAGTAGTTGGTCGTCCACCGAGGAGGAAGGCGCACCGCTTCCCGACGAC